GCTTTATGATGCTTTTAAATATCAGTTAGCAATTAGTGAAGACTTTTTGATTAAAAAAAAAGTTAGCAGTTAACAAAAAGACATTTTAATAAGACATTTAAGATTGCTGTTAATGGTTAGCAAAAATACTTTTAATATAGCAGTTAGCAGTTAGTGAAAACTTGAAATTACAACAGCACAATAAATACTAAAAAACTTAGGCTGTTAAAAGAAAGTCCTAACACAGTCCTATAGAGTCCCAGAGTGCTGTAAAAGACTTTGAAATAGCAGTTAACTGAACATATTTTGAATATAGCAGTCTGCTGTTAGCGAATTGACTTTTGTTCAAAAGTAATATGTAAATCTACAATAAAGTAATAAATAATATTTTGTCTATGTAATGTCCAATATGAATCTTAGTTAAAAGCGCTAGAGGGGCGTATCGTTTCTGTGGTTTGATCCTTAGACAAAGGACTTCTCTCTCTGAGCATCTATTTAGCGTGAAACGAAATCACACACTTTGAGTAACTTGTAATCTAACTTTTGTGATTACTGAAACGCTGTTGAAACATTTATATATACTTATATGTAAAAAGTGACTTTTAAGAGTTCCCCACCCTTTTGTTTTAACTTACTTCAGGGGGTTCAAGCCTTAATTATTGGCATCAGACCCCCCAATTCCATCCTAAATTAGCACCCTGGTTTGCTAGAACAGAAACCGTTGTTTAGTTGATGAAGCCAGTTGTAAAGAAATCAGTGGGCTCAACTTATCAAGATCTTCTTGTTCCAGGATACATCACTGTAGTCCACACATGTTCAGACTGTATAGCCAAGCTGTTTCATATGAAGAAGGTGCATTATTGAGATTACATATTAAATGTATTAATAGTCTCGTCCATCTCCAGTGGGAATTGTTTTCATTTGGAAACTATTTAGTTCGCTTTTGTCCATTGTTTCCTCAGTACCACATTGGTTGGAGGATGATGAAGGCCGGGTGGTGGTCAAACACGGAGCCAGATATGTCAGCGCAAAGTCAAGAGAGCAGGTCCGCGTTTGCCAGCTCTGGGTTGATTCATCAAGAGGGTCATGGTACGTACAAGGCAGCTGTGCACTGGGAAAATATCTGTACTCCATTTAAGAGTAAAGGGGGAAAGCTTAGAGAGGACATTGGGCTGCTCATAGGCAAAGTTGGAGTGACTCAATAGTTTGGTGAATGCATTCTAATTTGAAGAGGATGGGGACAGGGGCTCATAAAGTGCAGATTCTGGGAAAGCCATTTGACTTTACTAGATTTCACAGAGCATATAAGCACTCAAGGCAAACAAACTGCAAACCAACACTGTTTAACACGCACCAAAAGAGTTTCCATACTCCATGTCACACAATAGGATGCAGAATGAGCTGACAAAACAGTGTGGGCTGCCATGTGGGACTGGACCTTGAGAATGGCTGAGGTTGAGGGGTTGTATATACAAGCGTGGATACGCCAGCAATATCCACAGGCTTAGCATTGTGCGTAATTGGTTCCAGTTTCTTTTTAACAAAGTCTCACTTTTCTTCTTCCCCTTTTTTTCACACAAACAGATAGACAGGCTGAAACGAAAAAAACACACTGATTTACCAAGCACAACACAAAAGGATAAACAGAGATAAAAGTAGAATGGCAGCTAACAGACAGTATTTATAGTCTTTGTCATGGAAGGTTCAGTGGAGAGCATGATGAGTTAGTTCTAGACACAACTGCAGGCTAAAAAACGCACTCCATTACAGTGGAAGACGGCACACGGAACAAACTGATTTCCCTCAGGATTGTACCCAGCTGCACCTCAGATCTTTGATATGGAGAGAGACAAAGACACTGAGTATGAATCTAATACATCTTTCCATAACAGGGATATTTACATCATCTTCTAATGGGGAAAAAGTGTGGGGTGTAAAGTTGGAGATACTCTTGAATGATCTTTCTTTCTGTTGACTTAAGCAGATATCTCAAGAGATGAAGAAAGAAAAACACACCATCTAAAAAAAACAGCTCTATAAAGTCATTAACACTCTTAAAGAAAAAATGTATTTCATCATCTACTCACCCTTAACATGTACAGTATGAATTTCTGTGTGTGTTCCGCTGAAGAAAGAAAGTCATTAAAGTTTGGAACAACAGGAGAGTGAGTAAATGATGACAGAATTTTCATTTTTTGGTGAACTATCCTTTTAATGTGGTATAAAATACAGACAAATGTTTAGGGACCTGTTTATAAAGTCTTAAACCTTGAGACTATTAAGAAAGGTTAGATGATTAATGTACAGAAACATAAATAGTATATCCAACCATATCTGGTTGACATTACTTCAGCTGTAAGCTGCAATATTCTTTCATCAAACAATCCTCCCTCCTAAAACTGGAGCCTTTTGCTTTAAAGACAGAAAACTGAAAGGACATGTTACTCGTTTATCAAGTTTTCATTACATTAAAACCCTACTTTTCATGGATGGACGGCAGCCAGAGACAAACTTTTCGAGAATATGATTGAAAACATTTGCGAAATCAAAATGAGAGGTCACGAAAGCATTGATCTTATGGCAAGTTGACACACACCAACTCGGTTTCTGAAAACTCTCCCCTGGGAGAATGTGGAGGAAAGGATTTACTGTGCTGTGGTTGCCCAGCCACGGCCCACATACCTTTAATGTTGCTCACAAGAGCTTTCTCCACCTCTACTTAATCATTACTACAAGGAACGGTAGAGGTATGCCATTACAGCAGGGCAGAGAGAAAATCACTGTTTTGGTTCCATGATCTTTAAGTTAAACTATGAAGTCAAGTCATGCAGTTTGATAGTTTGGAGACACCTGAAGTTTTATACGAGGAGCAAAATGAAGAGCTGCATGCAACTTTGTTGACCACACTGTTTTACCACTGTCTGAAAACGTCAATTATCCCTACATGCCCATGAGTGGATTGTGAGATGCCGCATAAGAGCACAGCCTCAAATATACCCTCTCAAGTGAACATAATTGATACAAATGTGCAAGTTTGGAGCACAAGTACAGGTTTAGGTGCTGAACTCTTGAGTAGATTGTGGATAACAGTAATTAGAGCAGAGAGCAGTTTTGGGAAGACACGTTCAGGCCGGGCAATCTGCTGCCCGTACAAACATAACGTCACACAGTGCATCTCAGCTCCAGTTTAGCGCACACTTCACATTTTTGTTATGATCCTAAAGGAGATAAATAACTACATTTGACCAAATATAGTCTCTAAATGTCAAAACTACTTATATTAAAAAAGACAAACCTACTCTATATGACCACTTGAGCTAATCCAGTTGTTCTCACCCTTGCTTCCTATGTGTAAATGCTCTGTTCCCTCTGCACAATGACAACATGCAATGACATAATCTACAATGTAATCATAAGACATGTTTTTCCTCAGGGTTATTTCTCCCATGTGCATGAGTCATCAACGATTTAGATTATCACATAGAAATAATCAGCCTAATTTCTATGCAAATTAAGTTAGGGATAAGGTTTGGGTTTCATGTTTTCTAAGTTTTAAACTTTGATGCCCATTTGTGCCATAAACATTAATGACACCTCACATCTGTGAGAGGAGAGATACACCTCACATCTTGTGGAGGAGTGGAAAGCTATTACTTTTCTAAAGCTTTTTGTCTGTTGGACAATAACAGAAGTGAATGAAAAATCCTATAGAGTAACCTTGAAGGCAGTGCTCGATGTGATTTTCAAGAGACATTCTCATCTTCATGGGGGAAGTTTTTAAAACCACAAAAAACAATATATAAAACACTTTATTTAATTTATCAATTAATTAAAACCTCTTCTCAATTTGAGTAGTTATGGTTAAAAAAAATCTACATTAAAAAATCAAAAATAGTATCAACGTTGTCACACTAAGAATAACTGGCTTACGACTATATATATTACAAAAAAAATATTATAAAAATATATATTTTAATTTTGAATTAGTATAAATATCAGATATTACAAACAAACATAAATAACTAAATAAAAACTTAGCCATATCCAAGCCATATCTAGACACAAAATATCACAGACCATTGGGTTCTGCTATTTTGGCTAGTAAGCAACCAACTAGTAACTAATCAAAACACCCTAGCAACCCCCTAACCACAGCCTAAAAAACGAATAATCTAGGTTTGTCTGCTGTTTATGATCATGCATTTCATTTTGCTCAAGAATGTATGTAGAAGCAAAAACAGTACTTTTCCTGTGTGGAGCAATTTCTTGTGTGTGATAGGGGAGAGTGGCTTCACTTTCGGCCTTGTTTGTTGTCTGGCCCTGCACTGGACACATGGGCCGTGTAACTCTAGTCCAGTTGTGACCACACAGGAGAGGTTCTGTGCAGAGGGGGTCGGATCCAGAATGGAGACAGATGGACGGAGGGCAGTTCTCACACAGAGAATGGCCTCCACTGTTCCCGTGCTGGCCGCTGCTTACAAAGATCATTGATTTTGACCACGTTGAGTGAAAGGCTCGCTAATATCTCATTTCAGCACTGTCCTCAGCATGACCATGACACCTGTTCGGAGGTCAGGTCTACAGAACACCTCGACTGGGGAATCCGATCACAACCCTTTTTAAGGACATACAGTGTTTAACAAATTTATTAGACTGTCAATCGTGCATCTGAAAGAAAAAAGTGCTTTACTATTTTCTGCCTTTATTGTAAAAGAGTACATTTGAGAATTTATTCCCATCACTGAGTCTAAAAAATAATCTTCAGTAATCAATAATGTTACTTCCGGGCACAGGGTCATGAAATCAATTATGATTTTTACAGTGATGATGCTTTTCCTACTGACCCTGCTTGACTCAGATTGGGGAGTCCACCCTTCCTCATGATCAACAGGACAGGAAAACTGGTCAGAGAGGAAAATGACCCCTGACATTTCACATGCTGAACTCAAGATTGGAAATTCTATTTCAATAATCATATTTTCATCACTTCACTATTTCCAATTTTCAAACCCTGTCTTCCCCAACAATTCCTCTTCCCAACTACGGTACATTTATCTTTGTGTCAGTATCCTGTTTCCAGCTTCTTCACTTCTTTGCTCCAACTCTACAAAAAGAGAGGAAAGGAGGGGTAAACAAATCGTAAACAATAGCATAACAGCTAAAAGCTAATGTCATGATCTTTAAGCCAGAGGACTATTGCTATTCCCATATTGTAGGGGTCGAAGAGAAAGCCATAAACTTCACTTGTTTATATTTTCGAGTTAAAAAGCAGGCATCTTTTCAGCATCACTTTCATCCCTAATCGTCAGTCTTGACCCTTGAAGAAACTCATTGCACAGCTGGAGCCCTGTATAAAAAGGAGAGGAAGCAACAGCTACTTTGTAGAGGAGTTGCATGGGAACAACATGACTAGAGAGATCTAGTGGTGCACCACTTACGATTCTGTAGCCAAGCTTTTATGGACAATTATTTTTTTCCTCATTTCAATTGTGCTTAGCCTTTAAAACACTCGCCTTGAGTGCAAAAAAAGAAAGAAAGTGGGACACCAGAATCTTAAATTCTGAGCTACAGTAAAAGGCAAGTAAACAGATCTCGAATGAAAGAAAAATATATTCATCTGAGGGATAATAAGTCTGTCAGCAAAATAAAAAACTATAACTGACTGTCCAGATATCAGCTCAGTTGTACCAGTAGAGCGGTTTCCACAGCACATAACTGACTCTTGGAATCTCACAAGTTCCCCCTACATACTTAGAGATTAGACTGCAAAGTAATCCTGTAAGAGATAATTCATTCCTTACCTCTTACTACCATCTCTCCGGCTCCCTCTCACTGTCCAACAAACAACAGGAGAGCCAAGGAAAGAAATGTAGAGGAGCCTGAAACACGGATTGAAATGAAGTGCTCCCTCCACAGGCCACCCTGCGCAAACACTCTGAACGCACACAGCCATTACAATTAATTTGCATGATCTGTGACAAACAAATGATAAGTTTGAATAATCAATTATAACATAATAACTTGAGATGAAATGTACTCTTGGTTTTGTATACGTGAAAATAATTGATCTTATCGTGACTCTTAGGGTATAATCCATATCTTCAAAGTATTGAGAGTTGGAAACACTTTGAAATGTAATCTCTACTGCTCTGTCAACTTTCAGTTTTGCCTCTCTTACACCCTGGGGGTAGATTGCTCTGTACCACAGAACTTGTTAAACTCCTCCTTGCATGTTTTTATCATACTCATAATTCTTAGACTGAATTAATAATCTCAGCATAGAGTATAAGTATGCAAGTTCCTCACATCTCACCTACAGTCCTCATGTTAAAAGCACTATTAAAGTGTGGAGGGAAAAAGGCCTTTATAAAAACTTCCACCTCTGGCTGGGAGGAGGTGGAGAGGAGGGGGATGTTGTGACCCCTTCCTCTCCTCCCTGCTCGCCTCCACCCCACACAGCCCAGGGCAATTTAGCATTGTAGCAAATATCCCCAGTAAATCTGCCCCCTCCGCCAACATTTCTGAAAAACTTTTGTGCTAAGTGGTGCTGTTCTTCCTCAGCTGTAGCACAAATACAGAATGACTCAGTGTAGACGAGAGAGAGCAGTTCTTGCCCTGTCATTGATTGTTGGGTCCTGAGTAGTGTGCATTTGAAGTTGTAGAAGCTCTTTATCACTATTTCATTTAATATAAAGACTACAGATTAATACATTTTAGAACTAGTGTAGAATTAACATACCAGCACCCTCCTGATTTAACAAAATAAGCTGTGAGGATCTGTGGATCTGTAAAATTGAGAGAAAAATAAACACCTTCCAACACTATCCAATGTACTTCAGATGAAACAACAAAAATTAAAATACTTACAATGAAATAAGGGTGTTGGTAAAGGGAATAACATAAAATGAATGCGCAATTCAATTCGCACAGTGAAGTACAACATTCGTTTTACATGTCATTTAAGTGATAAGTTGTTGATATCCGAAATAATTCGCAGCAGATATTTGCATATTAGGCTATAACAAGTAAAAAAAACAAAAAGTTACAGAGCGTTTTTATTAGTTACAAAATATAAATAAACACGTCTAACAATATGGTTTCAGTCTCCGAAACAAACAGCTGAACACAAGGTCGCTGATTTGCTTATGAGCGTGCACGAGAGCTCTAGAAAACTTTTAAAACTGCGTTGCACTTCTGAGCGAGAGAGAAGTAAAAACTTCAAAACTTGAAAAAAGAGCCAGAGAGAAACGCCCATATGAAGCGACGGCTCGTGGCCCCTCCTGCATTTGGGTTAAAAGGAAATGCAGACCGAGGGGGTTTCTTATAGGGCAGCACAAGTTTACACAACTAGAACCTAGCTTGTTACAATTTAAAGTATCCGATTCTTCTCGCTGTGTTTGATTTATCCTCGATCGGAAGATGACCACAGCCGTGGTGTCGCCTTTCTTCGACTTTAGCGAAGTGATCTACAACAAGGTAAGGAAAAAAGTTTTAGCTTGATCTGTTTGTGTTGTGGAATGTGGACGATTACACTTTCCTTCTAAGTTTGAATGGGCGATTTTTAGCTGTATTAAGTAACACCAAACAACAGTAACTAAATTACTACTGCTTTTACCACTCTCGAGTCATCTTTAACGTTCTAATATAGCAATAAAGTAGTACTAGACGCTTGCAGCCAGTAAAGTTCCCTTCTTGGCTTGTTCTGGAGAATCCATGGCTGTGATTTCACAACGTATGTACGGTAGTTGACGCATAATGTGTTCATGAACATTTTTAATAAAGATTTTAAGTTAAAAGTTATATGAATGTTTAAGTGAAAGTGTATATCTTGGATCCTCTGGCTGCTTGCAATTAATTTGAATTTAATCACAATCTTAATCACTCTCCAATCCTTAATTCAAAATAATGTAGTGTGATTAAACGAATTAAAGTACACATTTTCAATAAGCTAACTTCATTTTAATTAAGAGACTACATGCATACAAGTATTTCATATCAACTACCCATGTATGTGTCACGTTGCTAACTTTTTAAACTCTATGAACTGAAGATTGGAGCAACCGGTTTCACAACCTGCTCAATGAAATAAATACATATATTTTATTGACCTGTCTGGGTGTAAACTTGAGTGGTGTATGAATCTGTCAGGGCTGTCCCGTGATTTCATTTAATTAAACTGACTGAGAGGAGTGACTTAGAAAACCAGTAAGTCAAGCTGGTTCTTAGATATACGAGTCATAACCCATAACTGTTGTCAGACATCATTTGTCAGTGGAGTGAATGTGTTTTTCTGTGCTGTGTGGATTACCATTTAGATTTGAGTGTTTATCTTCATCCAGCTGTTTAAGAATCAGTTATGTCTGTTTTTAGTTATATTACTTTATTCTGTGTAGTACAGCAATATATTTCCTCATGAAAAAGTTTAAGCAGCATGATCTAGTTTGATAATGCTGCTTCTGAACTTGTTAATGTTGTCAGACGTGGTTATCAATGTCCACAGGTTTGCAGGCGGACCTAGTCTCACGTCTGATACAGTAGGAGTTAGGTTATTACTCAGATCAGACACGCGCAGCAGTCTTTGCTTTTCTAAAGCAGTCAAGCGTTCCATTAGTGGGCATCAAGCCAAACTGACAGTTGTTTAGGCCTGTATTTACTCATTGGTTTAACATGAAGCCAGTGCAAAACAGTTAAGACATGCCAACCACTTTGTGGCTTTCAACAACTGAATTCTATGTCGTCATTGTTCTTTTTTTTTGTCTTTTCTTTTGTAGAACAAAATGCTGAACTACAATAATAACATCCTCAGTACTCCACACCCTGTCTCTGTCCCTTGCACGGGGGCAAGTCTGTCCATCTCCAACCCCACTGGGTGCCTGCTGGACAGGAAGGCTGTGGGGACACCCTCAACTATTGGGGTTTATCAGTGCCGGCACTCTGTCACTTCGGCTAGCACCAAACTCAACCAAAACCAGTTCTTGAACATTGTTAAGGCAGATCCATCCCTGCTCGGCTCAGGGATGGGAACCACTGGCAGCAGCAACAAAGAGAACCGATTTCGAGACCGCTCTTTCTCGGAGACGGGGGATCGCCTGCTACAGAAGTGTTTGGGCCCTGGAGGCCCCAACAGCCAGGTCAACTCGAGCCGCTACAAGACAGAGTTATGCAGGCCATTCGAGGAGAATGGCGCTTGCAAGTATGGTGACAAGTGCCAGTTTGCCCATGGCATTCATGAGTTGCGCAGCCTAAGCCGCCATCCTAAATACAAGACAGAGCTGTGCCGCACATTCCACACCATCGGCTTCTGCCCCTACGGCCCACGCTGCCACTTCATCCACAATGCGGAAGAGCGCCGTGGACCTCCACCAACCCCGTCCCCGCTTTCGGCCTCCAATAAGATGGAGAGGCCGCGGCTTCAACACAGCTACAGCTTTGCCGGGTTCCCCAGCGCTGGAGGCTTGAGGGACAGCCCCACCTCCGTCACCCCTCCACCTATATTTTCCCCAGACGATCTGCCCGAGTGGCCTAGCAGCAACCCCTTTACGTATTCCAGCCAGGAGCTGGCCAACCTCTTCAGCCCCAGCCTGGGCAACGCACCTTTATCCTGCTCTGACCCTTGCACCCAGGCGCCATCTTCCCCGACAGCCCCTTACTACTTCAGGGCCATGTCAGAGTCTCCCCAACTCTACGAGTCTCCATCCAGTCAGCCAGACTCGCTTTCTGACCAAGAGGGCTACCAGAGCAGCTCGAGCGGAAGTCTGAGCGGCTCCGAGTCTCCTGTCCTTGACACCACCCGCCGACTGCCCATCTTCAGCAGGCTTTCCATCTCCGATGACTAAAGCACACAGAGCCAGACCCCATCCCCCTTTCCACTGCATGCAGCAGTCTTGGGCAGAGAGGATGAGATGCTAGCACTCCCTCTACCTCTCGCCATTTCTTTGGCACCCTAGAAGCCGTAGACTTCCCTCCTTGTATCACCTCTGCTCTGAAACCGATGCAGTGAATTAAGGGATCTTTCTCTTTTTGAATACTCTTTTTAACCAGAACAAGCTAAAACTCTCCTGGCCTCAAGGTTCTTCTGTTTTCCGGGCCTCATCTTGCAGAGCCCCTGCTATGTTCTTGGTGTGACTGTGCCAAACACGCAGAGTAGGAAGTGGATTAGCGAAATGCTAATCGTGAGAGGTATGAGACCGTTGTGCCAGGTGCCACAGCTGCAGTCAAGTGTAGTGGAGCCGGTGGCACGGTTATGGGAGAGATCTGCGCCCAGCCCTCCTCACAAATTACCACTCTTCTCAAGGACACTCTTTCATAACTAATCATATGCATTTTTTTGTTAATTTTGTTTGTATTTATCTTGATAATGAAACAATAGAATATATTTTCTTTTATGTTAAATTATGATCTTCTGTATTCATCTTAAGATTGTGAAGACTTGTCAGCTTTCTTTTTTCACAGTTTAATATATTGTACTACAATGACTTTTGTTGGCAACTACACTTAAATGAAACTTAATTTAAAGCAAAAAAAAAAGCAAAAACAAAAAAAATCCTCTGCATTTTGATTTATTTATTGTCATTCCCTTTTCCCAAATATTTGACTGCAAAATCAGTACTACCATACAATCATTCCTAGATGATAAACTCACAGGAGCATCAACAGTTATTTTTAAAAATGAAAGAAAAAAATATTTCCCACACTTTAAGGTTTTTTTTTTTCTGAGGTGAGCTTAGGCCCCACTTGTAGCAATTTATATGGCAGTGAAAAATCTGGGTTTTTTTTAATCATCAAATGGTGAATTTTTGTTGTGAAAAACAAACTTGGATTACCAATCCAGTTTACTGAATGTCTGAGCCTGGTGATAGATTTGATTTTTTAGATAAAAAAAAAAGTTGATCTAAGATGCGTAAGTTTAGTGGCCTTAAAACACATGCAACACATTTTAAATACCACCATGAAGTGCTTTTTGTTTTGTTTTTCAAAATGTTCGTTACAACGGTTTAATGATGTTAATAAACATCCAGTGTTAAAGCAGTTTATTTGGTTTATGGTGGTGGACATGATGAAAGGCAGGCAATAATTGTGACCTAATGGGTTGAAGTTCTGTTGTCTTTGGACATTTGGAGCTTTCGGCCTATATGTAAAGTGCCTCTTTTACACATTCCATGAGCAAGCGTTCTTTGCCTTAAATAAAGCTGGGATGCTTTTTTTATGACTTACTGCTTGTATCCTCAGTGGTTTAAGCAATGATTGTCCAAGCTGGTTAACAGTATAGACACAAAGAAAGTATCTGAAGAGTTGAATGTATTTTGTTTTCATATAAACAGCTATTGTTGTTCACTACAGTAATTTTCATGAGTTTATATAAGATTGATCTCTCTTTTGTAATGACTGATTGCAGTTAAAACCAATAAAACCCCATATTTTTCAGAAAATAAATGATCTGGAGTATCATTTTTATGCAGTATTAATCTTGTGGTGGATGCAAGGAGATGGATGACTTGAAGCAAGGAAAAGAATACACGTCCAGCTGTCAAATGCAATTAAAACTGAAAGTTCAATAACTGTAATAGTGGTGTGTGTGTGTGTATATATATTACATTAAGGCAGGGTAGATGGTTTTGGCTGCACATGCTACTTAAACGTCTTGAGAATGGTTTGACTGAATTATACTTGCGACTGACCACTGAGGACGAGAGAACACAAACTTCATATTTGGTTAGGACAGCAAATTTCACAGAACCCCAATTCTGGATCATTATGGTTTTACTAATCTCTGTGGATCTGGCATCTGTGATATAGGAGGGACAAAAATATATTCTGCATATTATCAAACATTTTGACCCATGGTCGACTGAGGGAGTTCCTAGGAATAAAGTCATCTAGAGAAGGATTGATGGGGGTACTGACCTGACTAGGCGCGTTTCCATTACCCTTCAAATTGCGCAAATTGAAATTATATCGCCAACGTTTTGCACAAATCTGTAATGGAAACGCGCCTACTGTGGTCAGACTCCATGGGTCTTTTTTATTACACAGTTCCTAATTGGAAATCTGCTCTGGTTTCTGCTGAAATGGTGATGAATTAGGCTAGAGGAGGAAAGATCTCAGAAGTCAAGGCGTGACACGTTACATCAGGGCAACTGTTAGAGTCTGGCCGTTATGTAACTTTGTCCTCAAACAGGTTAAGTTAACTGAAAAAAACCCTTCAAACACGTACAGTTGATGTGACATTAGATCGCTAGTCTATTATTTCTTTATCTGAAGCGATCCTAAACTTCTTTTTTTTCAGGATTTCAGAGGTGGTAATATCTGATTGTCAAACCGCATAATGAACTACATCTGTGGTTATTTTGCTAGGACACCTGTGTGAACTGGTTTCACCTACTAAAAATAGCATAATTTGTTTATAAATGCCACGTGGTTACTTTCTTGTTTAATGCAATGACATTTTAATGCACTTGGTTACTTTCTTATCTAATGCAAGTGTGTCTTATATGTCCAAATACTTTCTGGAGCCTTGTACAGTGCATAAATACTGACCATATCTACCAGTGAGGCAGAGCTCAATACAATATATGTTCAACTTGTTGGCACCTAAGTCTACCGAGTCAACAAAACAACACTCAAATATGTTCCTTTTTTGCTATTTCCATTGTGCAGGTGATGGAAAGACTTGCACCAGTTGCTTGGTATTTTCTGTCAGGTGTACCTATATAACCTCACCATCTTTCCCCCACTGCACTCACAATCTCCACTCTCGTGAGCGAGGCCACATCCTGCAACACTTTTAAAATGTGCCTGTAAACATATAGGTACTCTATGTGTTCTCATCATAAACAGGAAGCAGGTCTCTTTTTCACTTGCAGTGCGGCTGGAGAGAGAGAGAAAGAAAGAGGGTACGGCTCGGAAAACTTCATGTGTGGCTTCTGTAGAAAGCTGTTGCCGTTCAACCTGAGTCTGTGTATCTGTGTTGAGAAACACTACCAGGCTTTGTAATTCCTCTATCAGGAAGTCCTGGAATGGATTGCTTGATGTTTGAGCAGTGCAAACAGACAAAAATGTGCCAATTCTGCCCTTTTCTGTATCACTAGCCACAGATGAGCATGTGTTTGTGTGCATGTGTGTGTGTGTGTATATGTAGAGCAAGTGGAAGGCCAGGGACAGTGATAACTTCAGATTGAAGAGTAACTTGATTTCTATGAAGTAAGGAGTTCCATGTGAATAGTTTTACTTGCTGATCTACTGTTCATTATTACATTGAGATATTTTACCAAAACAATGAGGACACATATGCCTAAATTTTATCATCGATAATGTTATTGTACAACTAAAAAAAAAAAAAAAAGTTGGTTGTGTCATAGACAAGTTTTCCATGGCCCTGAAGGCATGCAACTGGTTTCAGGTTACAACAAAAACACCTTAAGACAGTGAATATCATAGCAATGTGCTAAAACTACTCAGAGCACCCTGGCAACTTCAGGCAAACCTCTATAATCATGATAGAATGTTTAAACTCACCCCAAAACCCCTCTTCCCATTTTCTTTAAACTGTACACATATACATGTGAATACATGTGAAGTTGATTGAGAACTTCTCACACCCAAAACCAGAAACTTCTCCCATGAACACTTATTCTAAAGTTGTAGTTATACAATCCTCTGGTCATGAATATTAACCTTGCCCCCCTGGCTGTTTCCATAGTACATCACATGGTTGCTTTTTACCTCTGCAGAGCAACTATTGACCTACACGAAGAGCAGAAGAGTATGACAGAAAAAGATGTTAAGTAGAAAAGATCTATAAAAAAAAATGTGCGGTTTGGAAAAGTTTCAGCATGAAGGTGAGCTGGTAGTGGAACCAGGTGCAAAGGAAAGTGTGGTTGTGACTTGTGACTGCACCCAGCCACTAGGTTCTATTTGCAGCATTTCTCTGGCTGCTGAAACAGCACAATGAAGCATAGAGGAGACTGAAACTGAGCTACTTAACACTGTCACATCTCTGATCTGTACCGTGCTTACTGTTTGGGTTGGACCTTAGAGTAGGACTTTGGAAGCTTCTGGATGAGATTAAGGCAACAGAGAAACTGCACTTTCTGCTATGAAAATACTGCAGCTTTCACTGCAGGACTAAAAAGACATCTGATGTGATGCTAGAGGACAAATGCTGAGTCTGATATGTGAAGTTATGACCAAAAAAGCAGCAATAAGTGGGTTTTTAAGTTTTATTTTAAACTGTTTGCTTTTTTTTGCATGTGTGCGCAAAACTGCATATCTTAACACCTTCAAAAGCATAACTTTACAGTGAGGGGGAAGCATATCTCAAACTGTTTGATGTTGCTTTTGACATTTTACGGGTGTGAGAGTACTGACGTACAATGTCTCTGAAGCTCCAAACCACCTTTTCTTCACTTCCTTCCTACTTCACAAGTTCTCAAACCAGTTTAGACTTAAATTAACCAATGATTGTCAAGCAACACCAGGCCTTGATTGTTTTTCATGACTTCTGACTCTGAGAACCCACACATTCAGTCATTGTCTTTGCTGATATTGAAAGCAACGTTCTTGCAACTAGATTAAAACTGGATGCAGATATTAGATTGTAACTGGTCATCCATAATGACTGAAATTGAAAAACAGTCTGATATATTTCAACTTCAGTTGGTGTTGGTGATGTGAGACAACATGAGTGACAAAAACCAATTGGCGATGAGATACAAATGAGTGGTGAAAACTATTGGACAGTGGACATTACATGATCACACAGCTTTCGTGACCTCCATTAAATCAGAATATACTATAACATGGGAAAGAAACAGGTCGATGTGGTCAAAAAGGGCAAACTCTAGATGGTGGGTGGTTGGAAACTTGGTCTATTTGTGTGAGAATGTGTTGGTGAAAGTGACAACGTCAGAGTGAGAACACTGAGACCCTCGTGACAGGCCAGAAATGTAACTGAATATTACCAAAGCATCATGATCCAACAAGAGTTTCAAACTCTGTCTGGCTCCAACACAGCATTCCAGCATTACCTGTGTAAATGAAATACAAAAGAATCATTTAAGGAGTCATTTAAATTTCATACAAGTCAAAGATTCCAGACAATAATTTGGATTTTTTTTTTTTACTTTCTCGCTTTGTCAAACCATTTAGGAAACATTTCACCAGCATTTACAAGCTATGTTTCAGTTCAATCTGTCTCTTGAGGGCAATGAAACCATTCAAAACACATTCAGGCTCCAACATGTCAGACGAGTACGAGAGACCAATGATCTGCTTATCTTCTGGATGAACCTTAAGTAAATGCCTAAAG